CTAAGTGTGCCAAAACCGGGATACTTTAGTGGTTGTATACGCATATTTATATTCAGTATGACTTAATTGTGAAAGCAGCCGTAACTCAAGCGCGGAAGTAGTGGTAAAAACTGCTCTGGTTACACCTTGATTTCTTCGTATCCAAGTTGGACAGCTGATCCATTCCCACGGATTTCGATGGTTAATTATTCGACTCATGGGCTTGCAGCAATTTCCCCCGTTTTGTGAGGAACACCAATTGCAAAACACTGTTGAGGCCGTGTAATTTTTTTTCAAAAAAATTTCCGCTCTCACTCAGCCAGGTTGTAACAGGGGGTCACAGACAACTGTAGTTCATTGATTTCACGATAGTTTTCGGTTTTTATGACGGCAAATTGGGTGGCACTTTATCCTCGATCGTACATTGATTTCACGATAGTTTTCGGTTTTTATAACGGCAAATTGGGTGGCACTTTATCCACATTCACGATGCTCTTGGACCTAACCAGTGATTCTTCAAGGCCACCAGTACTGAGTTTTCGATGCCGGGTGGCACACTTGCAAAACAACATTTCATTCGAGTCAGCTGATGTTTGGCACGGGAACCACCGTTGGTGATTGCGCTTGGACGCCAGAAAGTGTTGAAGACGCATGACAAGGAAATGTTTTTGTTCGGAAATTCTAATGAACAATTGATCGGTCAACCCTTCTGATTAGGCCCCCGCCATCTGGTGACGTAACGCGGAAGTTGCTAAGGCCTGAGACATTGTGTACCTCTTATATGGAGCACGCTTTTTATTCGTATTTCAAGGTCAGGTCTGTCAAGCAAATGCTTCTTCGGGGTTTTCTGTGAATGGAGCACACTGAATCAATGCAGGCCTTTTGGTTGACAGCACAGAGTGAATTTGGCAGAGGGTTGCACCTTTTAGGATTATTATTCACTGATCAAATATGATTAGACCGCTTGGTTTTCAGTTGTGAGTGAGATGTGAGGAACGAATTCATCACAGACAAAGTCACTTTTGCGGTCTTGGGATGTCATTCCTGAGCCACTTTTGCCCACTGTTCTGTCAAGAACAGGTTGTAGTTTATCCTACCTTGTTGAAGATATGATTGTTCATGGTTATCTTGGCATTAACAGTATGTGGATAATAACTTATTCGAAAGCTCTGGGAAAATAGGCTTAAGACCCCTTTGAAGATGGCTCGTACGAAAATAGCAATGGGGGTTGGGATTGAAGCACATTTTACCTACTCTGCGGTACACTCACTTACTTTGTTTAGAATGGCCTTAAAAGTATCGCACCCTTTCAGTAATATGAGCTGTTAGTTTTGTGAGTATCAAATCGAAGTATCCACAAACTCATTGGACAATTGCAATCGATGACACGCGTTCAAGACAGTTGTTAGTAGTATGGCTAAACTAGACTTTGTAATGCTCGCGGCAAATTTCCGACGAGTGTATCATCGTGCTGACTGGTTTTGTTTTGGATACAAGAAAGGAATCGCACTGGAGTTAACCTACAGGTTTCCATTTCCACATCGAGCAGATGCTACCTAACAGTTGCTGGACTCATTCTGCGAGTCTCCGAACCTAAAACGGCCTGATCAGTGTGGCGTGAGACTATCTGTATGGTGCGCCGGATCGCTGGCGTTTCACATTCCCATTTTGAAAATAGTTGGCCACGGGTTGTCTGTTGTTTGCTAGTCAAACCAGAGCTTCGACGGAGTTCGGTTTGTCGTTGTGCAATTCTATGTAGTGCGGCATGTGTCCTCGGATTGACCCTTTGTTCATGTCATTCGGGTGCTCTCGGCCACATCACGGCTTGCCGACATGCGCAGTCATGAGCAAATATCATGTCCGTAGTTCTACTTTCTATTGACATTAGTAGTGGTACGAATAGCCAATCGATCACGGTACAGAGTCAGTCTATGGATGTCTACAAAAAACACGCACACGGTGGAAATCGAAATGCCTTCCCTAAACTCTTGCCATACTGGCGCATTCACCCAGTTAAACTCCAGTCGGGTTCGGGGCAGTTGGTTACTCCATCGGTTGCGCCCGGAATCGGCATAGACACAGCACGTGAACCTTATCGTCCCAGAACTAGGCAGCTGCGTCATTTCACTTATGCTTGCCGAATCGCTCTGTCGGGTGACCGGAAGGACGTTGACTAACGCGCAAATTTGCTTGCATGTGCGTGTCCTGTTCGTCATGCTTCTCTATGCCACCGCTGCGCTTTGCCCTCACGTTTGGTTGGCTCTTGACCCTGAGCGAGACCCGGACAGGCCAAGCAAAGTTGCTTGTTTGTTTGTTTGTTTGCTTGCTTGTTGCACAACCACTAACTTGTTGCAGTCACGGCATGTGGATATGTTAACAGACGGGTAAGAGGAGGTTCCGGACTTTTTTGCGATGGACGTGTAACAATCGATGACACACACACACGCGCGCGACCGCACCTTAGTCGACTGCGTTTTTTCACTTTCAGTCTGGGTCAATAAACTAAAACTGGGTTAGCTGACCAACAGGCGTGTCGTCAGTTCGGTGTGTGTGGGCTTGTGACTAATAATACAGAAGTTTCTTCTGGATTTGCGGGAGAATTTTTTTTTTTGGGGGGGGGGCGTGATTTTTTCCGCCCATTAGGTTGGCCGTAGAGGGAAGCACAGGGAAACGATTAAGTGACGGGTTCCGTTTACAGCCAGTTAACCCCGAATTCGACAACCTAGATATCGCCGTTTGAGCTAGTGTATGCCGAAGAAGAATACCGTATACGCAACGCCAGTTATTTTTCCGTACGGAGGACCCTTTCTGGATCGGATTGGCATATCAAGCAACATCTATTCAAGGGGCTCTTGAAGGGATATCTCAGGTTCTATGCGAGAAGATGAGTGATGAATGCAGCTAATGTTTTATTATACACGTCAAATCTAGCAGTTATCTCGAAATCTACATACGTGCGTACAGCTGTTGGTTGGAGTGCAAATTTACTGATCGGAATATCCGTGGTTCGAACCCGACCTCTGCATCTTGACTGCTCCTGTCCATAATGGGTCCAGCACACGATGGCGATAGGTGACAACATACTGACTAGTGGACCTGTTATTTGCCATGCCTAGTAGGGTTTTCAGTCGCACGCAAGGAGAGTCGTTCTCGTTTCAGAAGAGCTTGATAAACAATCGGTAGTTTTTATTTGGGCAACGTTTCGCTTTTTAATGGCTCTTATCGGTTAGTGAAGTTGTCAAAATCTTGCTTTGGTGGATTGGGTGGGGGGGCAAATTAATTCTGACCGGGTTTGGTTCCTTAATCTTCCACTTCAGAGTTCTTCAGTTGATGATTCACCTCGGTTGCCACTGATTGATTTTTCCTGATCTTTGTGGGGTCGTGAGTGCTCCGGCAGTTTGGTTTGAGGGAGTTGAGGTCAAGTGGACTTCAGATGATGACCACTCTTCCTTCTGATGGCCGCACACCAACACGTGTCAGCTCGACTGATCCAGAACCGTCCTCCACACGCTTGTCAGTTCCACGCCTTCTATTCTGATAACACTGGGATGCTTGGCGATTTCTACTGCCTCAGCGATCAGTCTGTGTGGCGTAGACCGTAGTCCTCGCCTCAAAACCTCAACATTTTCCAAATCTCTTTTTAGTCCCTTGTCCGGTGCGTGTTCCGCAATCGCCGAGTCTTTCAGTCGTTCTCACCCACCTTACATCTCCCCTTTCCCATGGACGGCAGCTAATTCCTCAGCGAGTCTATAACTGCTGGAATGGGGAGATCTGGGAATTTTAATAGATTTTTCGCTCTTTAATTGAAGTCAATCTATGCTGAAAAGCTGAGGGGCACACTGCTTCTGGGCTTCTCAGCATAGATTACTTAAATCACTTAATGAGTTGATAGCACAACCCATCTTCTCACAGTAGGGGTAGCCACAGAGGTGTCAGTCCAGTCCCTACTGTAGCAGGGCCTCTGGCATTGCTGATTATTCGCCGATTTAAAACGTTACGTGAGCATCAACCAGGATTTCGGCCAAATAGGGGCTGCATCAAGCAAATCCTCACACTCCGTTAGAACAGCGGCATATGTACAGACGACCCAAAATCAATATGTTCTTTGATTTCGATGTTGTGTTCGGTTCTGTTGATTGGCTAGTGCGCCTAACGGCGCTTGCTGAATGGGCAATACCTCAGAAGTTCGGGAATACAATCCGGTCCTGATATTCCAGTGTTTATGGGCGGTGTGGAAAGATCTTTGCAAGCCTGTCAACAAGACAGGTGTCCGACAAAGATATCTCCTCACCCCGTTTTTGTGTAACTTTGTAACTACCATCGGACCACCTTTAGACATGGGCTTCACACCTACAGTGTCCAGTCTTTGAAAATACCTGTCGCGATTTAAGGGGAGCTTTCGTGATGGTGTTTTGGCTTTGACAAAACTGCATCTCATGAAGTTACGGTGACTCAAAGGACAGAAGGCTATTAAAAGGTTCCTTTTCGTTGGTGTAGCTCGCCATCCTGACTGTTCTTGACTGGACGAGTCACAAGAAACGGTGCCTAACTATGCCAGTTGCGTTCGTGCTGTCATTTTGTGTGCAAGTTGTCTGATTCATTGTTTGAAGGGCACTTCAGGTTGATAGAAAAACAGGCGCTATTTCCTTTTCCATTGTCGGGGGGGGGGGGGTCAGGAGTAACACTGATCTCGACCCTTCACTAATGATAACACAGTCAACCAATGCCGGCTGTGCTGCTGTTTTACAGTGTTTTTGCATCTTATGGATCACGTTTTGCAACCGGAAAACAGCCCGTCTGGTGGATATGGTCTTTTAGTTCTATTTTTGGGGTAGTATTGAGACGTGTCTGTCTGGCATATTGCTAAGTTAGTTTTTCAGTACTTCTAACTTCTTTTATTTTCTTACCCAACTTCGATGAACTGGTGACCAAATTTTATCTCTTTGTTGTTTTTAATTCAGCTCCAATCCATCTGCTCTGTCTTCGGAATTGGTTATACACTGTTTCCTTTTTTTTTCCAGCTCGATGGCCCCAACGTCCAAAGACTACTCGAGTCTGACCGTTGTTCGAATGACTCACTTTGCGAGTGTGCTGGATACCCCCTGATATTCAATCTCACGATTGCGCACCCTGGCCGTTGTCATGACATCCAGCTCTTTTCCCCCATTCTCAGGTACACTTCCCTTCAACACAGGCACCTCAGGTCACTCATCACTGGCCAATCCATGTTCGGACGCTTCCGTGATACACGGTTCTGGACTAGACATTCCGCATGATGTATTCTTATCCATTACTTCTCAGCATTCCGGATCAGGCAGTGGCCCTGTTGAAGACATCAATGTTGACGATCTGGATAGAGTAGCCACATCTAGCTTTGAGTTGATCAGTCGTTTGGTCGATGCGGAAGGTCTTGCCGAAGTTGATCTGGTTTCCACAGATGCTTTGGATTTGGGAAGTTTTCTGTCGGCGGTGGACTATGATTCCGCGAAGCTAACAAAACCAACCACGACATCCACCCGCCGATCTGAGAGTGCTGTTTGTCCAACAACCAGCATAGGTAAGTTTTGTTCATGTCTGTTTTGAACCCGTTAAGTTGATTCTCCTGAATGGACTGTATTGCATATTCCGTAGCTGAGATTGTGTGATAGGGAAACGTGGATGGGTGGTTTGTGTAGAACAGTTCTGTCTTGACCGTCAGGCTAGAAAGCAGCCGCTTTACAACAAGGGCGGCACGCAGAGAGAAGAACAGTGCTTCCAAGAACGAGATGGTCTTTCCACCCAAAGCACTGCTAAGTTTTTTTGTCGTAGACCCACTTCATTTGATGAGTTTTGCTAAAACAAACTTTTTTTGATAAATTTGTCATTTGTGATTCATGTCTAGCGGCACGTGTATCGTCATCATCATTTCGAGTGGATGGCTTAGTGGTTCGAGTGCAACTCTGCCGACCGGAAGATGCGTGGTTTGAACCCGATTAGCAGTAAACCGCATTTATTCCCAGTAATCTGGGAAAATGGGAGTGGATAGCTATACATTCGAAGCCGTACCTGATATAATTGACGCGTAAATCCAGAAGTGACAGCGGACTTTTGGTTGGGGAGATCGGGGAGGAAACTATGCGTTGACGTCAAGGATGCATGGATGCCACTGAGCCTGTGATTGGGTCGAATCTGTCGATTTCCCGAACCATCGCTATATCCCTTCTCGGGGTCTCCGTCCAGGGAGACGGCAATGACCAGCGCAACTGAGTTTGCTGGTAATTGCTTTCATACTTCGCTGCCAAGTCATTACTTGACTTCCCCGGACTCGTTTCCACCCTTCACGTGGTTCTTCAAAAGTACCTTTCGAGGAAGTCGGTCGACTAGCATACGGAGCACGTTTCTGATCTTCCGGGTTTCCCACCGGACTCATGCGATGCTCTTACGATATGGATTGTCAAACAATGAAAGTTTTTTTGACATCCTTGGCGCACAGCGGCCAGGTTTCTGATTCATATAGTAATATGGAGAGCACCGCAGCACTGCAAATTCGACCCTTGACCGATAAGCTATTGTCACGTCTACGTCACACGACGCAGGTTCACAAAAGCTGTTCTTGCCTTCCCAATCTGAATAGAAATATCGTCTTACGCTAAACCACCGGGACTGGTACAGCTGCCCAGGTGGAAAAACTTGTTTATTACCTCAAGTGGCTCATCCATAAGCATGAGGCCAGGGTTCGAGCCTGCCCAGTCTTTCAGTAGCACCTTACACTTTTGTTGTATCTGTGCGGTGACCGAGCTATGGGTTACGCCTGCAGTGCGCCTGCCAGACTACGCGATAGGGAGAAGTCAGAGGACTGCGAACACGGCTGTATTGCCAGGACAAAACACAGAATGTCTGCGTAAATATATAGGATGACTAATTGGCCAAATACGGTCGTTCACTTGTTCGCTCCGTACAGCCAATGGTGATGTTCCGGTCGTGAACATTCTCAGGCCCACTACGCTGGTCGTGTGTTGCTAGGCCGTGTTTGGTGGGAGCCGCCGACTCACCTACTTTCCGGACGTGTCGTACCGATGGTGACCTTGGGGATACGTCACTCTGTGCATATGTGCTTTTTCTTCTGTCTGGGCGCGCCCTGACA